TGCATTTACATGGAGGGTTAATCAGATACAACATTGATATTGCATGCAGTATATGTTTATTGGGATCTTTATTTGTCACTAATTGCTCGATACAAGTTTGGTCTTCGACTACTGCTGTCATTATAAACCAACTAACTAATTAATTGCTCCGTGAGTCTTTATACACGTCCATAGGAACAATAAATAAATAAATTAATTAATTAATTAATTAATAAATAAATAAATAAATAAATAAATAAATAAATAAGTAAATAAATAACTGAATAGATAAATAAATAAATAAATAGATTAAGCAGATAGATTCTTGTATTTTGAGCTAAGCATTTTTTAGAAGAGCTATTAATTCAGGCCTTTTCATTTTGTGGAGTCCTTTGACTGCTTTGTTTTTTGATTTTATCTCTTGTCTTAGCTGCTTTAAAGTCATTTTCAAATAGTGATCACTTGTACCCAGATCAATATCTTGTGATTGAGGACTTTCAACATTTGGCTTTTCAATTAAACTTGCTCTTGATCTTTTCTTTCTTTTCTCAATTATGCCTTCCTCCCAATAATCTGTATTTTTCTTGTCATATTTTCTTTTCTCCCTTTCACAGTGCTTAAGTTCTATTTGTCTATGCTCTAGAAGTAGAATATCCTTAGCTGCATCCCATTTATTTGATTTTTGAAAGTATATTCTTTTTGCATCATCATTATTTTTTTCTATTCCCTGTCCTGTGAAATGCTTAAAGTTTTTGTAGTTCTTAATAAATATAGGAACATGGTATACCAATGCATGCATGTAAGGAGTAACTCTCTTCTTTTCATAGCCTATTCTGAGACCACCAAGGGATATGAATAAGTTAATAAATGCTTTAGATTTTTCAAAAACTTGAAGGTGAAAGTCATTGGAGTCTGAGGTAGTGTTGATTAAAGTGTATAGTGAGTCAAAGTCTTTCCACAACTGTATGACTGTATTTTTAGTGTCTTGAAAAAGGATGTCACCTTGTTCTAGTTTTTCTGGTAGTAGCTTAAGCAGTTTCTTTTTGTCTGAGCCAACAAGACTAGTCCAGTCATATGTCCCACTTCCTTTACCGTCTGCATTCTTTTTCTCCCAGATAGCAAATGTAAGTCCAATGTCATTGATTACTGTAATGAGTTTTTTTAAATTTAGGCCTGTGTCTTTATGTCTTTTTTTGTCAAAGTCTTCAATTCCATCTTTCTGCATAACTTCTTTGATCACATTTTCAAGTAAGCGGTCCGAAATTCTTAACATTAAGTGTAGTTCATCTAAGATAATATGGTCAGTGTCAATGTTTAGTAATGGTTCTTGAATGCATGAATATTTTTTTTCCTTGCACCATTCTCTTATAGTTTGCAATGTTCTGACATTCTCTTCATTAAAATATTTTAGGTCATGTGACATATCACGTCTCATTAATTTGTGAACTAAACACCAGAGGCAGGCATAGTCAGATGTGGCACCACTGAATCCCATTACCATGAGTAAAAATTTGTAATCCCCACCTAGAAAAATCTCTATTGGTGTGTCGTCTTTGTCAATTTGAACTTTGCCATCTTTTATAACTTTATTAATTTGTTTGAAAATTTCTGCAAATGAATCCTGTAGAGTGTCATAGCTCTCAGGACCATTGACAATGGCTATTGTTCTATTTCCTTTTGACGACATAACTAAATCCCCAGTTTGCAAAATTGAAAAAGAAAGAATCACAAAAGTTCCTGATTTTAACATCTTTGCTCCATTGCAGCTTATTTTAACTTTGATGGGCTCTTGTGTAGGGTGATTTGGATTTGATGCTTTAAATAGTTTGATGTGCTGCTTTAAAGTCTCTTCAAAACAAAGTTGTGCTCCAGGGTGCTGACCAGGTGTTCTTTCAATAAAACAAAGTKTATTTAGGTCATTCCTCTTTTRTTTAATCAGGTAAGACTTTGGCAAGTCTTTAGTGAAAATTGAGAGTYCRTGGTATARCTCATCACTTGCACAAAACTTATCCATTAAATACAAAATTGTTTCCAAGTTGTCTTTGTCATTTTCTGTTTCAGCAGATTCATTGTTACAGTATTCTAGGTTGTGTAATTTGCCTGTTGCTTTCTCTTTAACTT